GTTATTCCTCTCTAGGTGCCTGATCCTGCACTTCCCTTAGTGGAACTTCATGAGACTCCTCTCTGCCCCACTCTCCGGCCTACCCAGACCTCTCTGAATGGCAGCACAGCCCTCTGGTGTAGCAGCCACTCCTCCCAGTTTTGTATCGACAGCAACCTTGCTGAGGGTCCACTGTGCCTCTTTATCCAGGTCATTGATCAGTATGTTGAACAATACTGGACACAGTAGGCCAACTGTAGTCAGGGCCTCCAACTAGACTTTGCCAACAGTAGTCGTTTGCCTCCAACTAGACTGAGCACAACCCTCTGACCCTGGCCTTTCAGCCAGTTCCCAGCCTACCTGTCTGTCTGTCCCACACTTTCTGAACTTGCCTATGAGGATGTTACAGGAGACAGTGCCAAAAGCCTGGCTGAAGTCAAGCTAGACACCATCCACTGCCCTTCCCTCATCTACGCAGGCAGCTGTTCCATTACAGAAGACCATCAGATTGATTAAGCCTGATTTTTTCCTTTATGAATCCATGCTGACTTCACATGTTTAGAGATCGCATCCAGGATGAGCTGCTCCATCACTTTTCCAGGGACTGAGGGCAAGCTGACTGGCCTGTAGGTCCCTGGGTCCTCCTCCTTGCACTTGTTGAAGTCTGGCAGGACTTCAGGCTTCTTCCAGCTCTCAGGCTCCTCCTGTTCTCCGCGTCCTTTCAGAAATGGAGAGGGGCCTAGCAATGATGACTGCCACCTCCCTCAGCACTTGTGGCTGCATCCCATCAGGGCCCACACACTTCTGGATGTCAGGTTTTCCTAAATGATTTCTAACTCCATCCTCCTCAAACAAAGGAACATCCGCTGCCTCAAGAGTACTTTTAAACACTTTTAAAACATATATTAAAAAAAAAAAGGACAAATCCACTTTTTGCCTGACACTGCCTGTTGCTCGAATTCAACACAAAATTAAGAGAAGTGCTGACACCTACAGGAAGGCACATTCCCATGTGCGGAAACCTCAGCCTACCACAACCTATGGTATTCTGTGAACAGTAAGGTCTTATTAAGCAAGCACATGATTTCACCATCGTAACAACCATAGAAATACTTTTACAATTATATTTCTACTTCCTGTTACACGGTCTGCACTTACATGTCAGTACAAACACTTCCCCCTTCTCTGATCACTTTTTCTAGAATAATAATCCTCCCCTCTTCTTGTTAGTGCAATTTAATTTCCACTTCCGTTCTGTTCCTCAGTTCATTCTGAAATGAGTTTTTTCTGGTTACAAAACTGGGCCAAAACTCTGTTCACCAAATCTCATGGCGTTACACAGGTTACAGGTAATGCAGAAGGGCTTCCAAAGCCCTGAGGTTTGTGTAGATGTCACAGGGAATGTTATATTCCCAATGACCGACGGTCTTGCCTCTTATTTCTCACTACTCTCATCTCAGTGCTGAGGCCCCCACTGCCCTGTAGCTTTTTGAGACACATACTTGCGAATTGAGAAAATAACAGCTTCTTGGCAAGTCCTGCAAAACAGTCACATTATTCAATCCGTAACATCCGAGGTTAGGAAATCAGGCCAGCTGCCCTGTAACCTCCTGCACAAACCTATAAAATACACTGAGAGTCACTACTGCTACAGCAACAGCAGCAAAATCAGCCCCCAAATCACCACACACTCCTAATACTGGTACTTCAGTAGCGATAACTACAGTTTTACCAGGTGTTGCTGCACAGTATTACTTACCACCGGAAAATGGCTGTATGTTCCACTATACAGTGTTATCCAAACTAAAGTTTTGATAGTATTCAACACAGCTCTCCTTAAAAACAAGCATATGCAGTCACTTCAGGTAGTGTGCAACCAGGATCACGGAATAAATCAGACTGAGAAGGACCGCAGGAGATCTCTAGTCCAATCTCGTGCTCCGAGCAAGGTCAACTACGAGATCTGAGCTTTATCCAGGCAGATTTTGAAAACTGCCAGGGATAGGAACCTCTTTGGGCAACCTGTTCCAGTGCTCAACTACCTTAATTGTGGAGAAGCTTGGCTTTATTTGAGAAAGGGTGAGCTGCCTGTTGTTTCTAGAGGGAGAGGAAAGGTATTAAGAATATTAGGTTCAAATGTGGAGCAATAGATCAGATTTATTTCACCTCTAGTCCTAAAGGAAACTGAGCTCGTTGAAACTGACCTTATATAGATGCAGAAAACAGGTCAGGCACAAACTGTACATTCCCAAAAGTGCTGGCAATTGCTTTCAAATATCTAAAAGACAGTAAGAAAGCAGCAGACAACTACTAAGCTAAGCTGCAGAAGAAGACAGCAACTCACATTTATGTTGTACAATTTGAAGTTTGCATTATCTTAGACAGACTCCATTGAGATATCTTATTTCTTATGAACTTTGCCAAATACTGCCCTTTAAAAGCTTAAGGACATGCTTTGTTAAAGCAGAGCTCCAAGGCTGGAGTTCTCCTGCTCTGGGATACTGGCATCACTTCAGGAAGAGTTTAGTGGAAGCTACTGGGCCAGTGTCTGAGCTCAAGGAAAGCTGTCAAGCTTAAATCATGTTTGCAAAGGAAGGAGCAGCTTCTTGTGTGTTCCCATAAAGTTTAAGGTCAGGGTTATGGGAGGGGAAAAAAAAAAAAAAAACCTAAATTAGGGTTTTTTAACTTTTGAAAAATGCTGCATTTCTGGAGCATTGCATGCACATAAGAAAAAAAAAATCTTCAGCAGGGAGTCCTGCACTCCGGTGACACGGTGACATTTTATTGCAATGCCCAAGCTGACAAAACTACTGCATGTGAAGGATTCTGCACATGGTTTAACCTACCACCACGGTTTATTTGTAGACATGTTACATGTGCTAATAATTTAACTGAACACAGACTTTGTGCAATTCTATATATAAATATTGCCAATGTCACACTAAAAGATGTCAGCTGTATTCAGTTACAGTCATACTTTAAAGCCTTCAAAATACAAACCATTAGAAACATCAAACAAAAAAATAAAGAAAGATCTGAGAACAACGATGGACAGGAAAAGAGAACTCTGAAATAATAGGAATGATGATTTTAAAAAAATGAAATCAAACAAAAATATAATTTCCAGTTGGTTCCTAAATATCCTTAGATAAATCTATCTAGAATTAATACTAGTTGGCTTAGGTCTAAGCTCAAAATTGATCTCTCTTTGCAGGTTAAAGAGAGATCTTGCTGAATACAGAAACTTCAAAGAGCTTTCAAATGTTGTAATGCATGATTTTTCCCACTGTCAATAAAACTACCTGAAGGAAAGAAATTTGTTTCATTTGCCTTTATTTGCAATACAATATAAAATAGATTCTTTTGGTATGAAGATCTTTGAGATCTTATTTTTTACACCACATTTAAAACAAGTCACATACATTGACCAAAGCCTCTGGAGCATCCCACGCACTGGAGCTGCAGTTGAGTTTTCAGCTATTTTATGGACTTCTTTGGTTGCACTCTATTCAGTAAACTTCAGACATGCAGACTCGAACACTGAAGCTCCTAAATTCATTCACTGAAGCACCTAATAAGTGTGGCTTGAGTTCTAAAAAACTGCAACACATCTGCAATTCTCACCATTAAGTGTCAGAGTTATGGGTATTAAACAACTCTGAAGAGCAGACTAGTTTTATTTAAGAACTTTAAATAACCTAATAACAAAGTCTCAGCCAGTAATAGGGCAGGATATACAGTGAGGAGAACAAAAATTTCTTCATCCATTTCCAGACTTCCACACAACAGATTTAGCTTGAGCTATCACCACCGTATATATTTCATACAGACAGGGTGTATGGCAACATCTGAGGAAGTTTGCCAGACTAACTCATCTATTACAGCTCGCTGTAGTATTTTAAGCAATATCCACAGTACTGAAAGTATAAAGCTTCATCTAGTGTAAGCCATCATCTACTTTTAGTTCCAGATACTGAAACTCCATACAATAATTTTCATGGTAAAACTTTCTGTGCCATTTTCCCCAAACTAACACTTAGTTTCTCTTTAGTTTCCTTTGAAGGAAACAAGACAATCAGTAACTAAAACAAAATACATAGAGTACACACTCCCTGTACAAGAGTCACCGTAGTGTAAAAAACCAGCTTCATATAATCCAGCTCTTTATGTAGAATACTAAGTTCAGCTGCTGTTGGTAAAATATATAAAAAAGAAAGAGATGCAAGAGCAGCACTGAGCAAACTGAAGCACTACTGACCTCCAGTTTCTCTGAGTGCAAGTCCCACACTTACACTTTAGGAATGTTTATATACCAAAAGAGAAAAGAAGAATGGATTTTTCACAGTTCTAACTGGTGTCACTGTATTTTGCTATTGAGGTGCATTTTTTGCTTTTTAAACTTACATCATGTTTATTCTTCCAGCCAAAGAGAACAGGATACAAACTCAAATGCTGCCATTCTTCTAGAGCCTATTTTCCAGCATCATCTATGCTGCTGGCTCTTGGTCCATTACATACCATAGACTAGAAAGGACAGGATGTTTAAGTCTTACTTTTAATTATAACCATATAAAACAATGGAGATTGCAGAAAAGGAGAGAGCTGGCAGAGTGTTTTAGAAACCTGTGTTGAAACTCTTCATATTTTACATCTCTTGTTTTCCTAGTATGTCAAATGGAACTGATTTTTT